AGGGGCGGGGGGAAACGTTCGCTTGCCGGTGGGGGGGAATGATGGACCGGCAGGAAATTTGGAGAGGGTACTGAGGGTGGTATGGTGCGTATGGGTGCAGGCTCAGCTATTGACCCTGGTGGAGTAAAAACTGATGTTGTACCGGGCTTAACAACCAGGACCGGGGTGGTGCAGGTTTATCTGGAACAAGAGTTATGGGAACCTATTCTCATCGCTGACGACGGGGTTGTGCTTGACGTTCAAGCTGACATCGAGTCTGGAGAAGGTATGGGTGTGGGGGTATGAGGTGGTGGGGTTGGGGGAGAGGTTTGTTTTTGTGGGCGGTGGAGTTTGCGGGAGTGGGGACGTGGAGGGGGGATGTTGTGGAGCATGTGATGGATGGTGAGTGGATGGTGATGCAGGTGCAAACATTTTTGGCAGCACTACGAGCATTGTCACGGCGGGAAGTACAGTACGGAGCTTACGCGACGAGCGAGGAGGTAAGTGGACGGAGGAGGGAAGAGGGCAAGGATGGAAGGGAGGAGTGGAGGGGGGGGGGGTTGTGTTGGAGAATAGTGGGGGTGGTGGGTTGGGTGGGGTTGATTGGTGTAGGTTGTGATTGAGGATGTGAAAAGTAGCGGGGTAGCGAGGTGAGGGTTGAGGTGATACTGAGGATGGAGGGGTTTGGGCTGGTCGGGTTGGTGTATGTGTGCAGGTGCTTGCAGCTGGAGACATGTGTGCGATATGTCAAGAGAAGATGCATGCTCCGATATCGCTGCGGTGCAAGCACATCTTCTGCGAGGATTGTGTGTCGGAATGGTGAGTTGGGTGGCATTGCAGTTGGTGGTTAGGATGGGGGGTGGGATGGGAGGGAGGGAGGTAGGAGGGATGGATGGGTGTTTGTGCGGTTGTTTGAGCGGTGTTGTGTATGAAGAAGATGGTATGGGTGGGGGTTGAGGAGGAGCGATGCGTGAACGTTGTGTGCGTGGTGTTGGATTGGCAGGTTCGAGAGGGAGCGAACGTGTCCGTTGTGCCGGGCCGTAGTGAAACCGGTAGGTCTGCGGTCGTATGGGGACGGATCGACGAGCCTGTTCATCCAGTTGTTTTAGAGGGCGTTGTGGAGGGAAACGACGGAAAACGTGTGCAGGAGCGAGTGCAGCCAAGGTAGGTGCGATGGGGAGCACGGCCATGGCGAGGCTGAGACGTTGGAGAGGCGGCTGATATTGCGCTGCAGTGGAGGCATTGAGTGGCTAGGGAGGGTGCCTAAGGAGTGGAGCGCTATGAAGAGAACAGCTGCATGGAGGAGAGGGTTAGGAGGGTGGGGGTGACGGGACGGGGAGGGGATGCCGGGGCGAGTCGCCACAGAGAAGGTCGCGGGTGTGATGGTGTGGCGACTCGTTGAACGTGAGTGACGAGTACGTCGCAGTGCGGGAATGGGTGGATGAGGGCCGTGCATGGGAACACGGGTGGGTGGAAACGAGTATGGTTCTTTGACGGGATGAGGATGCGATGTGCGTTGGACGGGGCGGGGAGGGAACACGGCTGCAAATGTTTGGGAAGGGTGGTATGAGAGGCGCAGGATGGTGGAGAGACGCAGCGGTGTTTGTGTTTGCGACGATGTTGGGTGTTGCACAGAAGGAGAGGTCGACGGAGGTTTTCGGGATGTGGGGTGGCGGTGTGGTTTGGTTGTGGAGCCGGACGGTCGGCCCGGTGGGAGTGGTGGAAGCGGAGGGGGGGAAGTGGCGAGGTCGCGAGCAGTGAAAGAGGTGCGGGGGGAAGTGGAGAAGTGGAACGGTAGGTGCACACAGGTGGCGATTGCAAATGCATGTTGGTACTCCGGGTGGGGAGTAGGGCGTGCGAAGAAAGTGGTGGAGAGGAAGGTGGGTGAAGTACAGAGTAATGGGTAATGAACTGCGTGGCGTATGGCACGCAGCGTGGAGGATGAGAGTGCGGTGGTGGGGGTTGTGGAGGAGCTGGTGTTGCTGGTGGAGGCGGTGGGAAAGATGAGATGTCGGAGGAGGTGTTTGGTGCGGGAGTTTGAATGGAGGTGAGAAGAAGGTGATTCTGATTATAGTTCAGAGGGCGTGAAGAGTCAGGAGGAGCATAGAAAAAGCATGGTGTGAAGTCACATCGCCGAGATTGGAAGCACAGTGGATGGAAGTGGGGAGAAAGAGATGGGGGTTTGTGGAACCTGATGCAAGGTCATGTGGTGAGGAGAGTGCAACGTCCATCGGAAGCGAGGCCTGGGACTGGTGACGAACATGAATGTGAGGTTGGATCGGCGGAGTGGCGGCTTGGTAGACTTGGGAGTGCTAGAATGATGGAGAATATTGTGTACCGTGGTGGAAGATTGGGAGAGAAGAATGGCATAGACAGAAAGAGGTGGTTGGAAGAGAGAGGGGGGTTGTGCAAGGGACCCTCACGGGAATAGGTCTACAGAGTTGGAAGTGAACATAGAAGAAGGAGCAGTGATGAAGGTCCGAGATGCGCTTGAAGGAGATTCATTGGAAGACGGTGTATTTGTACAACGTCTTAATTGGATTTTTGAGATGAAATAAGCTCTGTTGAGATCATATGTTTTTGTTGGTTTTTGAGCTTGTGTGGGGAGTGGTGCTGGAGTTGTGAGGAAGGAGGGACAGAATTGGGTGCTAAGTTGTGGAGAATGGGATGATTCACATATGCACATGTCGTTGATGGTAGTGGGGGTTGTATTTGTCTGGATGCGAATGGAGCGATGAATTGTATTTTTGGGTTGTTTGCAAAGCTTGGATGGTTGTGGAGTGATATCTCATGTCGAGCACTGTTTGATCACATCTGTTGGGATTTGGTGGAAGAGTTGGTTTAGTATCAGTTTTGATTGTGTTATTTAACAGAACATTTGAAACATTGGAGAAGTGTTTAATTTTTGATGTTGCTAATGGCTTGAGATTAGTGTTTCAATGCTAGAAGTGAGAGACTACCATTTTTTTGACAGGCATCTTTAGAAGCGTTTTAGTATCACATTTGTTGTTTTTTTAGAGAAATGTCTGGTCACATAATAATTTGTCCTATTTATAGGGGTTTTAAAATTCCGATTTTTATTGATAGTATTATCTATTGTCAACTTCCAAATTTTTTACTATTTGGAGGTTTAGAAATGATATTGTAGGTGTTTAAATGGATTATTAAATTTAAGAGTCACATAAAAATGATTTGTGTAATATTTGAATGATATATGTGTGTTTAAATAAATTTTATTAATTTGATTTTGGAATATTGTTTAGAGAAATTATTATTGTTTTAGAAGAGTCAAATTTGTAATAATATGCAGAGAGGAATGTTAAATAGATCCAAGTTTTTATTAAATTCTGTGACCTATCCTAACCATCATGGAAACAAATAATGGTTTTTGGATTTATTTTTCCATTATTAGATTTACAACCAATAAAAATTCATCATGATCACCATATTCTTCAAAGGTGGGTCTATCTAGTAAGAGCATGGATCTATTTAACATTGCTCTATTTAAATGGATTAGTTAACTACATTGTATTGTTGTTTAGGTGTTTTAGTCTTGTTAGAACTATGGTTTTTAGCATTGAATATCTCATTAATTCCATTGAGTTTATAATTAGTAAAACAAGTTGGTATTTTATTTGAGACATCTTTAATTTTAGAAGTGGTTTATATAGGGTGTTTTAATACTCTTATTAGTTTTGTAAATGTTTTTGTATTTTGTAAATAAAATTGAAAGTAAGAGTATTAAATATAAAAATAAAAATAAGTATTAAAGTTTGGGAGTTCACCCTTAGATCATATGGAGTCCAAATTTGTAGTTTTTGAGTTGTTTTTATGTAGAAGATGCCTAAAGAATCCAATGGCATTCTTGATTTGTGAAGTGGAGATTATTTGGAGCATTAAATTGGCATTTATTCAATATTATTTTCTTTCTAAGCAAGTTTTTGATTTTGTTTCTTTTTTCTTATTTACTTTGTTGATTTTGTTTTTTTAATTGTCACAAGTATTGTATTTTATAACCATCAACCACATATGAGTGCTAGTTGTTCTAGTTTATTTTTGATTTGTGACCTATAATCTTAGGCAAATGTTGCCACATTTCACAAGCTGGAGGACATTTCTTGTAGCATGTTGAGAGATTTATTCCTAAGAAAAGCTAAGGATATTTCTTTGTCTGATTGGAAATTCATGTTTTAGATGTATATGAAAGAAAAGTGCAAAAGGTCTCCTACTTGTATTGAGTGGTATGCCTTTGAGCTACTATGATAATATTTGGAGCATGAGATGCTCCAAACTTATGGAAGGTAGACTAAAGAATATTTACTTGAATTGCAAGAAATAGAGCATTATTGGGAGGCAAGAATAGAACTTATTCCAACTCTTAAAGAGGGTGTTATTTCAAGTATAATACCTACAATAAAGGAAGAAGATCCACTCAAAGCAAAAGTTATGACATCTTTGGAAGAAATCAATGGAAAAGAAGCAACAATGACCTTAGACAACACTCGACCTATTTTATTGCAAATGGTTCAAGCATTAAAAACAACTTTGTTTGTAATAGGAAAGCCACCATCATTTAAGTTCTTCTAGATATTTATTTAATACTTGAAGAATGAATATGGAGATTTTAGGTGTGACTAAATGTAATGCATTCAAGATTCTTGACGTGAAAAAGGAAGATATTCTACATACCATGTATACTCATTTGGCTTGGTTTGTAGTTGAATCAAGTGATGTATTTGTTGAGAGTCAACTTGTTAAGATTTTTTTTAATTTAAGATCGATAAGTAACTTTTGGACTTAGCGACACCAAGAAATATTTTCAACTATGATGGCAAGGCAATGTTGGTTTAAGCATTTTCTAAAGTTGAAAAATTTGATAGGACCCTTTATGAGTATGGTGCTACTAATATGATTGCTTGGATGACGAATTGGCTAAGCCTAAGAAGTTTGTAAGTGCCATAAGTAGCTTAGCAATAATTAAATTTAAAAGAACTATATATTATTAGGGATATGGTGAATCTAGTCACACCGTAAATAATTCCAATTGTCCTAAAAAAAAAGATGGTCCAACATATAGAGAAGTTTGGGAAAATATATATATATATTAAGATTGGAGAGAATTCTAAAAAAAAAAATTAGAATATACTCATTGTGGTAAATTCAACCACATTGAGAATAATTGCTTTATCTTGCATTCAAATAAGTAGCTTGTTTTGGATAAAGAAAAAGTCTTTAAAGTTAAATTGCCAAATTGAAAAAAGAGTCAAAATTTGTGGTCTCATTAAGCCAAGTCATTGAATCTCATATGAATTCTATAGCTAGAGTAAATTCTTATACTCTCCATAATTATATGTTTGGTACATTACAACAATTGGTTGCTGCAGCTACTATATGTATTCAAACAACACCAAAGAATATGGCACTTGCTATAAGTTAGGTATTAGAAACCTTATTTGGTAGTCAAAGGAATTGTAGAGATCCTAATACTCATGTTAAGAGTGTGTTGGTTGTACATTTGCATTTGGTTTAAATTGCATATATTGTGATTTGTTTGTAGCACTTGATGTGTTGTGTATAACAATCTTTGTTTACATGACATTACTTTTACAACCAAGAATCTTAGATGAAGGATATAGAAAGAAAAGAAAAAATAAATAAAAAAAATAAAAAAAAAAGAAAAAACTATATAGTAATTAGTAAAAAGTGTGTATCCAAACATCAATGTGTAATTCTTGGTAAAAAAACTACTTTGTTGCTAACAATATATTTCTATTAAAATTGATATTCAATTGGATTTATATATAACTAAGTTAATTGTAATATAACTTAAAAGCACCAGAAGTTGAGAAAGATGTGATTAAACTTCAATGAAAGAAGTTATTGTGTGGAGATTACTGTATTGTAAGGAAATAATAAGAATGAAAAAGATGTGTTTATGTGTTGACTAAAAACATCTTCTGCATTTGAAATTGCAGTCAACAGAGTTCCAATTAATTTATGGGTCCAGGCTTAAAGTATCATTCGGTCACTTATTTACAACATGAGATTAAATTGCAATATTTTTTTGAAGAGGTTGTAATTTCAAATCTTTGTCTGCTTTCTATTTCTTTTTAATTTACACATATGATCTTTTTTATGATAGGTTATCATTTGCTAGAGCTCGCTAAAGGGTACCATAAAAGTAGATACAGCTGTCTAGTATTTACAGTTTTTAATGCATGTATATTGAATCTTAGAAGAATATGGTCTGGTAACTTAGAGAATATGATCTAGGAAGCTAAGAATATAACGAAGCTCAGAGAATGCGATGGTAAATATTGCTCTTCCAAGTTTGCATGATGCAAACAAACTTCCAGGAAGTGGAACTATTCATTGAACATACAAATGTCAATTACAATCATAGCAATAACATCATAAACAATAAAACATCAAAAAAAAAATAAAGAAAATTGTACTCCTCATAAAGAATCTCGTATACCTGAGAACTGTGTAATCCATACTCAAATAACTTGAGGTTTTTGATTCAAATTGACATTGTGGTAAATATATTACCATGATTAATTGAACATCTGGAAGGTCAATATTTGACGTTCATGCAGATTCCATATAAGTGGATGACAATGAGAATGAGACACACAGTTGTATGAAAAAAAAGGTACAATAGCTGAACCCAATTCTATAATGCACTCTAATGCAGAAGTGTAGCTATCCTATTCAAATGTTTGGCAACCCCAGGTCCAGACATCAGAATTACTTAAGGATGTTGGATATGTACATGGAGAGGAGGAGCCCTTGTTAGCTTTCATCTGGTTGGAGGCTGTGTATGGGGAGCTCACTGCAGAAGCTCTGGATCAAATTTGACTTGATCATCGTCGCCATCGAAGCATTAGGTTAACAGTAGACAAAAGGAGGGGGAGAAGACGGTGTCAACTGGAGGAATCAGGGTCCAGCTACTGAGATCTGTTACGAATTTTGGGTGGGTCCAATGCGGCTTACAGGATCTGGAATCCATGGTTGGGGAGGTATGTTAAGAGGACATCGTCTCCCAAGGGACACCTGTGAGAATAACGCATTACCAGATGAATCACAGCTGTGATTCATACGTGCGCTGCAACCCAAACTTGATTCATATTAGCCAGCGATAAAATTGTGTATTTATGAGATTTGTAACCCAGTTCAAGTGTAAAAGATGAAGACTTTAGAAGGATGCCACTAGTTTGGCAAATGTGTCCATGTGGTCGGATCTCAAGCCCAAGGACAGGCTCAAGCTTCCGTCGTTGACAGGGCTGGCTAACACATACACCAATCCTTCATAGGCTATTGTAGCTGGTCCCATGAAAATCGGTCTCCCCCAGCCAAAATCGCAGTCGTAAGTGGGCATTCGCGCCCAGGAGGTGATCCCCAGGTTTGGAGAATTGAAGTGGTGTGCGCCGCGGACGAGTTTGCTGATATCCTCTTGCGTCTCCAGGTAGTCAAGTGCAGATCGCAAATATTCATCATTCATTCTCGCCAACGAATCATGAATCTGTGGCAGACAATGATTCTGAGACATGGGTTGCGATCAAACTGAGCAACAAGGTGCATCCGCTCAAGAAACCAAAACATGACGGGAATTGAATGAGTGATGCTTACCTTTCTCGCAGCATATGTTATTGGATTTGATACCAACTCCCCAGCCGTTGCAATAGGAGTGCAAGTGAAGATCACATTGCCGAAGTAGCCCTTCGGAAGTGGCGGATTGAGCCGCGACCGGCCGTCGGTTGCGACGAAAAGCTTGGTTTCTTGAGACTCTGCCAACTTCCGAGCTTGCGTGATGCATTTCCAGATGTGGCCTGACAGCATTTCGTAGCTGCTGAAGGTCACATCGGCCTTCTCCTCCACTGCCATTCGTTTCAAAGTGGCCAATTGCTCTTTGGTGAATCGGAAGACACGCACAGCCATGGGCAGGTCCTCGTCTTTAGCCTCTTCGTTGGTGGAACCATTGCTATTGTGAACGCCATTCGTCATCTTCTTGACGTTCAACTGCACTGCACTTTGGTTTTCGTTGCCATTAGCATGATTGTGACCGCCTCCAGCACAGACACTGTTGCCATTTCCACTGCCTTGTTTTTCATGGTTCTCGTTGAAGTCTCCGTTACCATTGCCGTTGCCGTTCTCCATATGAGCTCCGTTGCTCTTCCTGTTTGCAACATGAGAATCGTTGACGACACCATTCCCATTCCCGTTTGTGTGAAAGGCTCCATTCGTAATCTCCATTCCGTTGGTGTGGTGACCATTGGAATAATTATTCGCGTGGCCTTTGGAATGGCCGTTTGCGTGACCATTAGCAAGTCCATTGGCGTGAACATTTGCATGTCCATTTGCGAGACCATTTGAATGGCCGTTTGAATGACCATTACCATTCGACTTAGAATTCTCAGGTTTCATTAATCTGGGCGGAGGTTGGTACTCAATGTGAGGAAACATGGGTCTAGGAGGGGAGTTCGCCTTCAACAACGTGCGGTCAATAAACGGTTTAACTTTGAGAGGGATCCCTCTCGCCATCTCCGACCATGTGTTGACGCAGTGAAGGCCAGACATGCCATCTGCAACGTGATGCTGCATGCCCACTCCTAGCGACGCACCACCGCATTTGAAGAACGTGATCTGAAACGAAAATTTATGGTGTGTTAGAGCTTAAAAATCTCGCACCCACACCCACAAAGTAGCACACGGACGAAGGAAGTCTCAAACCTGGAGAACCAGAAGCGGAAACGAAGATATCTCTTGGGAGTAGTCCACTTGAGGAACGAGGTGGCGAAAACGGGGGTCTGGAGCAAACTCGCCGAAATCAGTAATCTTAGCATCTGCTTCAGCTTCGACAAGAAGCACTCCTTCTCCATTACAGTTAATCTCGACTCTTCCTCCTTCCCCCCGTTTCAGTCGGCCAGCCATGGGGTAAAATGGCACCAATGTCTTGCCCAGCGCCTCCGCAAGCTTCTCATGGTTCAAGAAATCGTCACTTCCATCATTGTTGTTGTAAAAATACACGCTCTGCGTGTGGATTCTAGGAATGACAAGGTCCAAACCTGAGTTCCAGAGTATTCTCTCTGGTGTCGGTTCACTGGGACGCACCATGGACTGCTTCCTAATGGTCACATCCAACTGAACTTGACTTGCGGCGGCCATGTCGACGCTTCTCGCACTACCTCTGCAAAATGTAACAGATCAACTGCAACACTTCTTAGTGACTTTTATATATACAAAATAAGAAGTATCGCTCTCAACATGAGGCACAAAAGCTGAAGCTCGCAATCAACCACGTCTAAGGATCCTCAAATCGAACTATTCAGACGTTCTACCTTACATTCTCTGCAGCTAAAAGGGAAGATAATGCAGCTACAATGCAGGAGGTATGGGGCTCACCAACTGCAAGCAACTTCCAGCCAACTCCTGCAACAACAATTGAAGCCAAAATTTGGCGGATGAGACAAGTTGCAACAAACTTCTGCGGAGTGTGAGACAGGTCTTGGAGTTCTAGAAGTACAGAATTGGGCGAGGTGATGGTGGACTTGAACGGGGCGATTGGGTAGTGGGGGGTCAGTTAGGTGGCTGTACTGGACATGGACTGCATTGACTGCGACTGGTTGAGGTGGATAAGCCACTGAGATGAAGAGGTGGAGCAGGTGCCTCCAAGTGAATCCGGTGTTCATGCAGGCTGACATGAGGTGGGCAACGAGCTGGCAGTTGTCTGCCACAGTTGGTGATGTGGGTTTCTGCCATCGCTCACAACTGCAGTAAATGACCTCCTCTATCACACACCTATCTTCCCGTGACTGCCTGCAGGTGCATTCATACCGCCGCTTTTCTCGTTACAAAATCCTCAACAGCGTCCACATCAGCAGCCTCCGTTTTCCTGTGCCAGCAATTGGGTGGTCGAAGCAATTTCTACAGGTTCCAACCTTTTGTTAGCTGCCATTCGATATACATGATTCACTCATCGGCGATTAGCGTTTCGAAATAGAGGACTCGGCTCGTTTGCTCGTGAAGGCTGACTCTATCTTGATGCTTTCCTATCACCCCCAGTTTCTAGTTGACATGTACCAAATATAGTTGTTAGACGGCTATTGTGCTGTAGGGTTGGCATGCTTCTCGGTTGAGCATGTCCGAGACTGTGGTGGTGATACTCTTCAGTCTAATCACTTAACCTACATCATATTATTGTGGATTTGAAGTAGTTTGATGGCGGTAGGATAATTTATGATACTAACAAATCAAATGCTGTTACTGGTTTCTGAAAAACTACAAGGGAATTGATACTAATTCACAGTTATATCATGGTCAATTCAGTGTCATACAGTTAAATATGGTTTTCGCCAATGTCCCTAAAAATTACAAAGTTTAATGGTAACTATTCTGAATGTGTTACTATGACATGTTAATTTTTTTGATAAGATACAATAAGTTTTCGGATTCCATTTTTAAAAACTTATCTATATATATATATATATATAAACATACACACACACTGTACATGTTCCATATGAAGATACATATAACAAACATTAAGTAGAGGAGAAAGGAGTTAGATGCAATGATAAATAATTCAGGTGTACCTACCAACCCGTTGACTCGTTGAAAACAATCAATAGTCAGAGCTGCGTATGATTGTGTAGTAGCTACATCAGGAAGATCTGAGATCCCCGTGTCTAAAAACATCAATAATCCGTATCCCCGCCATTTTCTTGTGTAATTCACTGATCAGATCTATTTTTTGAGTTCCTTTCTCAGCACCATGAGTCAAGGTCGCACTTTGGCTGCAAACGTGCTGTTCAGAGATGTGGCTTCCCCACCTTTCCAACCAGGGTTTCTCCGACCCCAGCTTGGATTTTCATAAGGATGGCCTTTAGTTGGGTAATAGCAGCTGCAACCTCAGATAGATAACAAAGTTGCAACCAACAAATGCGGGAAACTTTACAGTCCGCATGCTGGCTGTAAGGCGTGATACAAGGTCTTCGCAACTTCGCAACTTCGCAACTCTAGCCAATCTGCCTTGATACTGCTTGATCTAGTAACTTCAAGTCAGGGTCGCAGCAGGTGCAACCCACTCCATGCGTTGTGGGTCTACATCACAGGGAGACTCAATGATCAGCATTATTGATAACATCTTACAGAACCCCTGATAATGGAGTGAGGAAGGTGGCAGATTGAGTAAAACCTCATTGCAGACCACGCATCTCGCAGCTCTTTCTGAGATAGGATTTTAGATACGGGAATCGTCTGAACGATCGATCCTCAGCGATCAAGGGAAGTCGGAGGTAAGATAGCTGATATTGCTTCACAGGAGACTAGAAGTGATCCTCTCTAAGCACAAATAAGCGAGAAATAGGGTCTTACTTCTTGTGGCGAGGTTCTCCGGGAGTAATTATTATAGGGTCAGGAAACTTCTCCCATGCACTCGGCCCGGATTCCATCTGTACAAACAGTTACCACCATGACGTCCAAACCATCAGACATCTTATCAAAAAAATAATAGAAGCGTGCATTCTACTACAAAAATAAGAGCGATACATAGAAAACCACAAAAGCCACAGTTTGAATGAACGTACTTCACCGGATGTAAGTAAACAATGGTCAAGTGCATTGCGAAGATCTACTTCTTGCATTTCGCTTGTTCCAATGAAGACAATCTGCAAATGTATCACCGTTGCTGCATGAATATATAGTGGCGCCAGCCTTATTGTTTGCAGTGTCACTTGTGGAAATATCTAAAATGATAAGAAAAAGTACCTGCCTTTATCTTTACATACAACGCTTCTCACGTGAGGAGCAGTTTAGATAAGGTCAAGTAAAGAGTAACTCCAAACCTGGAAACTTTTAACTTACTTCTTGTCGTCTGTCACCATAATGTCCCCCTCTCCATCCTGTATCTGTATTTGATTTCCATTCCTAAACAGTTGACCACTCAATTATTGAACTAGATGCCCAAAACAAGCAAACCGGCTACAACACAATCGTCTACGCATCTTGTAGGTGCTGTAATTACCAATTTAACAAGAAACTAAAGAGATAAAACCAATCCATGAGGCAGCAACGTCCGATTTCTTCCCAACTTTACGACAGATAGAACTTAAAAATGAAAACGTCTCAGAGATAAGCAGTAGACAACCTCCTTCCATAAGTCGCCATCGTGAAGGTGAAGCGTTTCCCCTACTTGAGCCCATTCCCTGCACCATGTCTACATGGCATCAAACACACTAGAAAAGAGTCTATCAAAGAAAGTTAATTAGAAAATCCAGGGTTCACCTAAGTAAAAATGCTATGGTATGACCATTATTTCTATATATATCTATATATATATATAGATATATATGTTCGTCTAATATTAAAGCCTAGAGGCTATACCTTGCTTTTTCCATATCAGTTGCTAGCCATACAAGTCCCTTCGCACGTAATATTCCTGTTCCCATGCACTTCTTCCCTTGTTCACCAGAGCTTGCTTCAAATTGCGTGCGTAAGCTCCTAAGGACAACCACCAGTCGCTGAGGCTGGAAAGGGCGGCAAGACTTGTATACAAAACTTCTAACATGGGGTACATGCTGCCCATCCACACCATGTTCGTGGTAGTGATGATCACGATATTTATGATGAGTAAGAAAATGTTTCTTTTTGCTGGATGAAACACAACCTTTCCTCGTACCGAATACCATCGTTGAAGAGATATCTCCGAATGATGCACACTGCATGACAAAAATCCCACACCCTGAGTTACAGCTATCTTTTGAAAAAATTGCTGAACATGAAAAGCTATAAAGAAGGTGCAAGGTATTACAATGCAGATATAACTAGAATCAGATGCGCAATCCCAACGTATGTGCTCATATGCTTTCCCCCTTGGCCAACCTCCTTTCTCACTCTTCTGTTTTGACACCTCTAGACTTCAAGCTTCAAGGTTGTCAGGGCGCAGGATTCTTAGGCTGAGGCGTATCATACTAGTGCAGGTTACAGTAACTACAGAACAAAAACTAATACCAGTGCGCAGCGGGAAATTCTAATCTTCCATTTTGAAAGCAAACTCTAAATTGTACATGGAGCAGGTAAGGCAGGCTGATAGAAGAAACACAAGAAACTTGACAATAGTAGAACTGTAGTATCGTTTCCGAGTACTAAAAATATCTTGGTACAATGTGTTGGTAAATAACACACCTCTAAAATGGCACTTGGATTCAAGGCTTTGATGGCTGTGCGACATTTTGAAATCTGGGTTTGTTGCAAGCAGTCTACTTTACTAAGTATTATGAGGTCTGCACATTCAATCTGCGCTGCAATTACGAGCTTGCTGTTAGCATTTTGAACCATCCATTTACTTCATCGCTTTACATAAAAGTCCTCACACACAGTACTAGTCTCACAAAGCTCTCCGCTTCATGACCAGCTCTTGACCCCCAAAACTTTTTGAGGCATACTAATTATTACAATAAATTGATAGACATGATAAGCACTTAAAGAAATATTGAAATATGTAACCTGCTCTACCAGCAACTCTGCCAGACTGCCGGCCTCATCACCAAATTGTGTTAGTGTGGATCTATTCGCTACTTCTATCCACTTCAGTAGCGTCCTCCCATCTACCAAAGTAACCTTCATAAGATAGAACCACAATCACATCAATCGTTTGGCACAAGGTAGGTTTCAGCAATAGGTGGAGTCAAAATTAACCTAAATCCTTACACAAACTCAGTTGACCATCACAATACGCTACAAAAAAGCAAACCCCTGATCTAATCTAGCACTATACACCAAGAGAACACTTTTTAACCCAGAACCTACTCAGGGCACAGTATCTACTCCCCCTTCACGGTGCACGGATTTGCGGAAAACGCCAACATATCCTTCTCATATTTGTTAACTAATAGTACAAACAGAATCACATTCAGAAACACCTTCATAACGAAACCAAAGCATCGTGTTAAGCTCCTGGAAACTTCCTCGTATCTACTCTCGATACTCTGCTCTTGACTAGGTGCTTATCAACTCGTTCACCTCACAAAGCACCAACATACACTACACTCCTCTGATATGGAACATTGACAAGGTAATAACAATAATAAAACTCCTGTCATCCATAAGTATACTACTACTCTGTTTAGGGAAGAGAGCCTTACCATTTGATTAAGCATCGCAACCGTTTTGTATGAATGACCCTCCGCTTCGGCTTTGGCAAACAACTCTATGAGGCTGCTAGGCTTGCATCAAACATAAAATAAATTTCTTCGATGTCATTATGGTGAGTATCAGTGGCTAAATGAAATACCAAAACTTGAAGGGTTAATCAGTGAAATAATATTCATCCAAGTTCTAGCGCATCCTGGGACATCCGGGAACTTGATACCTGAGCCATACCGGAGCACTCAACCACCACATGATCAATTTCACCTCCCATCTCGAGGAGCTCCCTTACAGCTCCGATAACATCTGTCTCTGTGCTACAGCACAAACATCCTGCAAGTTTACCAAGCCCCTCAAAATTTATAATTGATCTCTGAATCTTGGCATAACGACATCAACCACCTTATTATGAAACCAAGATACGGCTAAACCACATCATTAATATGTAATCTATACAAAAAGGACATGTGCACGACAGTCACACCATTCTCGAGCTGACTGAAAGCAGCAAGGGCCGAGGCCTGACCCCCGCCCAACAAGAGTCGCGCATCCACATTCACCTGCACAAATACATAATCAGCCAAGTATTTGTCGTCCCACTCTTTCCACCAACACACAACCTGGAAGTGAAGAGAGTCATTCATAAAGTAAAATAATATAAAACAACTTAAAAAAAAAACAAAACAAAACAAAACAAAACAAACAAACAAACAAACAAAAGAAAAGAAAAAACGCATACCTCTGCAAGGTCATTTACGAGCACTGCAATGCGCAGTCCATTTGCATTCTTCAGTAACCGAGACAACAAAGTGGTCTGTACGGAATAAAGCTCAGCGTCAACAGAAGGGATTGCAAAGTATACGCACATGGAATGTCGGAACAGGAAACCAGATTGTAAAACAAAAATCAAGCTATGCACACCCACAGAATTCAACACCATGGAGAATCAAGAGCGGTGCAAATATATATATATATATATAGAGAGAGAGAGAGAGAGAGAGAGAGAGAGAGAGATAAAACCCATAGAACGACAAAGAACCCAACAGAACCAAAGCGGCAAAAAGAGAAAAACCTTGCCAGCACCGAGGAAACCCGACAGAATGGTGATGGGCACTCGAGGCCGTTTGTGGGAGCGTTGCCACAATTTGGCAACGATTGCTACCATGGATGCTGCAATCGCCCCTGTTCCCACAACGGCCGCGACAACGGCGGGTCGATGCTGCAGAATTTTGCCATTCATTTTCAATTCTTCAATTACACTTCTCTCAGCAAGTCCAGACTGTGAAGCCCTACAACTGAAACCAGTCAACTACATCAATTCGCGTCTATGCAACTGAAAATTAGCTGCCGTAGTCGAGAAAACATGGCATGGCGTGCAAGTGATCGTCTTCTCGCTCAACATAGTATTTTCCTACTCCTAATTCTTCATCATCCTGTTCTACCTGTCGGTGATTCACACCGATCACACTACATCATAGTTCAAATTACCACATCACTCCAAAACAGTGCAGCCAGAGTCTTCTACCTAAAACCCCTACAAACAAATCCTTCATGCCCGAACAATCAGTGTCAAATTCCCATCGTCTTACTGGATTTCCGTTTGCGAGAAAACGAAGCTTGGCAGACACTCGCCGAACTCCGTGTTCAGATCGCAAGCTTGTGCATTGGATGAATGACTAAGATACTTAATGGATGAAAAATGACATACTTCATTTATCGTTGAATTTGCACTCAGGATGATTGGCTTTACAGTCTTAGGGTTTGCCACAGATCTACCAAGCCTGCGGACCTTTTGGCTTTTTCATAAACTTTTTGGATTCTCCAATATACTTCCAGGGCATGTTGAAACAAAGGTGTGGTTTGGAAGAATTATTTTCATGTATTCAATGGTTGTAAAAGAGTAGGATAATGGTAATGATGACTAGTGATTGTGAGTGCAACTTATAATATAGAATAATCCATATATTTGACATATCAAAATGATTAAAAAAAAACTAACTAAATGTTAAATTAATATATATATATAATATAATATATAATAAAAAAATAAAAAATATAATACAAAACACACATGACCAAACAAATATGTTCTCAAAAAATGGCTCTCTTTGTATCCACCAAATTTAGAGGCAAAATAGATTTTTATTTGTTTCACTTCCAATTGCTTCTATTATCTTTTATTTTTTGATTATCATACAATAAATATATGTCATTTCAAAATATTTTTAAATATTTTAAATAGCTAGTATTACAAATTTTAGATATATATATATATATATATACATATAGATGATAATAATAATAATAATAATAAGTTAGATTAATAATATTCTTATTTTAAAAAACATGTGATAAACCTTTTAGTTACATTTTTTTTTGTAAATGTCTTTAGATGTACTATGTACTTGTAAATAAATTTCTAGAGATCTTTTATATTTAAAATGCAATTATAGAGAGATTTTACAACTTAAAAATTTTGTGTAAAAGCCTTATAGTCCTTATAAAGGTTTGATATACTTTTATTAGTAAGAAAGTAAGGATGCAAGACCAAAGCCATACTTATTATGTTAATATCTTTTATATACTTCAAAAGCTATTTTAAACTATTTATTTACTTTTACTTAAAAATAACTATCTTAGCATCATTTTAATACTAAAACATTTTTTGATATGTTTTATTTTACTTTTAGTTGCATATAAAGAAATTATTTTTAATTAAAATCTAGATATATGTATACTATTTGAAAAGATCAATAATTATAATATTAAGTTTTAATAATTTTTATAAAAGATAAACTATAATTTTTATACTACATCAAAAAAAAAGTTTAAAAAAAATTCTAATTAGCTAATATTGGTTTTATATTAAAATTCTAAAAAAGTAATATTTTATTTTTATGTAATAACTCAATTAAATTTTAATTATATATAAAAATATTTTTAAAATAGGATATAACATAATATTTTTGTAAAAAAATTATACATTTATTTGATATTTCTTTTTTTAAAAGTAAAAAAATTTGATAATGAAGGTATAAAGATTAAAAATAATTTTTGAAAATTTTAGATGTTTTTATAAGAAATACCCTAGCCAAGTTTTGAAGCAATTCAATAGTTCAACAAGGAAAAATTGTTGCTGAAAGATCAACATCTAGTTTAGAGAGAGAAGATAACAAACATCTAAGAGGTTTAGGAGTTTTTTCTTCTGATTGGTGAGTTCAATTATTCTCAAATTTTGTGTGCTTATTAATTGCTTGTGGATTAAAATATAGGTGAAATTTAAATTAAGAAAAATTATTTGTTTAATATTTATTGAGATTTTAAAACAACTATAGAAATTGATTAGGATTTACTTGAATTTTCTTGGATTTGTTTAGGATTTAATTAGAATATCTTTAGGATTTAATTAATACTTGATAAGGATTTGGTTAGGATTTAGGATTTATTTAAATTTTATTTATTATTAGATTAGAATCATATTAAAATTTGGTTTTGATTTTATTAAGATTTGGTTAAGATTTGGTTACAATTTAGCTAAGATTTAGGATTTGTTTTGGATTTAATTAGAATTGGTTTAGGATTTCACTAGAGTTTGGTTAGAATTTGGTTAGAATTAGTTTAGGATTTAATAAATATTTGATTAGGATTTCTTGAGGATTTGGTTAGGATTGGTTTAGGATTACATTAAGATTTGGCTAGGGTTGTTTTATAGTATTGTTAGGATTTGATTAAGATTTGTTTAGGGTTGGTTTAGGATTTTATCAGAATTTATTTAAGATTTGATTAGAGTTTTGTTAGGATTTGCTTAAGGTTGGTTTAGGATTTCCTTAGTATTTTTTTAGGATTATATTAGGATTTGGTTAGAATTTGTTTAAGATTTTTATTTAAAATATTTTAAAAAGATCTTTTAATATATTTTTAGATTTATTATTATATATATATATGTCTTTGAGGTTAATTTATAATTTCTTTATGTTTCTTTTGTAAAATTTTAAGACTTCTTTTGGATTTGATTAAAGATTAAATAATATCATTAAGATTTTATTAGATTTTATTTAGGATTGTATTAAAATTGTTAAGAATTTCTTATTGAAAATTCTATTTTACCTTCTATAACTAGGTGCCTAGTACTTTCTCAAGCAATCTTCACAAAACACAAGAGCATATTTAAAAAAATCTATATAATTTTAAGACTTAAAAATAATTATTTAATTTTAAGATTTCAATTTGCATAAAGGTTTGTTGGTACTTTGTCAAGGTTTCTTTTACTTATATTAAACAAAGATAAAAAATTTAAAGTTAAATGAATTAATATCTTGTATGTTCTACATAAAAGTCAAGCACTTATTTAACTTATTTGTTCATTAGAGTCATATGAATGGTATTTCAAGGCATTGACTTAAGGTTTTTTTTTTTTTTTTTTTCACTCATATTAGATATTTTTTGTAATTTAGTCTTAGCTAGAATTTTTCAATCTTTGATAGAATAATATGTGTTCAAAAAAAATAAACATCATATAGGTAAGTTTAAGCAACCAATAAAAATAAATGTTTGTCCAATTGAGAGAAGGAAGTAGATCAAGCTTACAATTGTATTTAAAAATTCATGCTACTATAAATATAAAAAAGACAAGGATAAGTATATTAAAGAATTTTGATGGAATAAGTTCAAAATTTTGAGGATTCCTACAATAAATTAGGCTCTAAATTTATATATTTTAAAATACCTTCATAGATTTATTCAAGTTTGATTTATAAGATCAAGTTTACTTAAAAGTACTCTTTGTTTATTTGCATCTTGGATATAAAAAGATTCAAAACTTTACTATGATTAAAATTTATTAATAAAAATATTTATAGTTATATTTAAAGAAAGTGATTGAAAAAGGATAATAAAATCCAAGTTCTAATCTTTACAATAAGGATTATATTTAATAACTTTATATGTAGCTAAATTTCAAAATCTTGTTTGCAACATGGATTGAAATGATAAAGCTCTTATCAATCAATTTTGATATGGATTAAAAGATAATGTCAAAGTCTTATTTTTGGCAATTTCAAAAAAAAAAAAAAAAAAAAATCATTATAGAAATTTATTATTTAAGCCATTACATAAAATAATTGACTTTTAAAAAGATACCAAGAATAAATATTTGATTAGAGAGGTACAAGTCATAGCAATAAATTTTAAGTTTTTGTAAACTTATTTAGTAAGGCTAGAATCCATGTATGATACATTTCAAATCTTTCATTAAGCAAAATAAGACTTGATATCATTTAGAAGGATTATACTTATATTGTAGAGAACCTAAGTATACTACTCAATATTTTCCAAAGAAACAATACAATAACAAAATAAAGTGTATGATTGCCAAAAAAGATAATATATTTAAAAAACAATTATTCAATTATAATAGGGATTGTGTGATTAGAAACTTGTGTAATATCAAGCAAAGATTTTATTTTTTTCTTTAGATTCTTCACCTTGTTTTATAATAGATGTCTACATAAGACCAAAAAATTACAAATTCTTTATTTTATTAGATTTAAGAGTCTTAGCTTATTTTTACAGATTCAAACTTTGTTAAAAAATATGAAATACTTTTAGTTAAGAAAATTAAGTATGTACATGTAAAAAGCATAGATGGTCATTTTTTGTCTTCTAAAGATGTCACTTATAAATTTGTTCTTTTAAATATAGCAAGTAATGGTTATAATTAACTTAATAATATTTAATATTATTAAATATTTATTTAATTTAATTATTTTAATTTATCATGGCTTTAGAATTGTAATTCTCAAATAGATTAGATTTCTTGTAATTTTAATTTTTTAATAGCATAATTGAGATTTTTATTATTAAAATAGAAAGATATAAGTCTAATCTAACCAAATCCTTATTAATATTCTTGCATATTACAAAAGAAAGATCACCTTTAGTTATTTATGCCATATGTATTTTTTGATAGAAAAAAAAAAGACTCAAAATGCCATTTTAAGCCAATTTTAAGATTATCAAGATATCTTTATAAAAAAATGCAGACATTCTTTCAAAGCATTGTTCTTATAATTGCTCAATCAATCTTTAAAAAAGAGCTCAATTATTATTTGAATTAATCTATAGCTTATTATAAAATGAGTTGGATGTACTCAAGGAATATATTAACAAGAATTTACCTAAGAACTTTATATACCATTCAAAATCTCTAGCAAGAATTTCTATCTTATTTGCAAAAAAAAAAAAAAAAAAAAAAAAAAATCATTGTAGATGTATGTGGATTATTAATGACTCAGCAAGATCACTATGAAGAATAGGCATTTTTTATCTTTGATTTCATGACTTCTTGATTAATTGAATCAAGTCAAGATCTATACAAAAATAAGTCTACAAAGAACATAAAACTTAGTACATATATTAAAAAAGACAATGACTGGATTTTAAACCAAGTATGGACACTTTGAATATAATGCCATGCCTATTGAATTCACAAATGTATAAGCTGTTTTTTAACATCTTAAAAATAAATTTTTCTTAAAAAAATTTTAAATTATTTTTTTGTTTATTATTTATAAGACATCTTAATTTACTCTAAGAATGCAAAAGAATATGAAATTCATATTTGTTGTGTATTACAAAAATTGAAAGATAAAGAATTATATGCCATGATAGAAAAGTGTATATTTCATACAATTCAAGTT